CTATATGGGGACTGTGAAAATATCCAGGCTGTGCACCACTGGTTTGTCTTCCAATGAGAAATCAATGCAGTTACTTGAGAGCACAACAGCTGTCTCTTAAAAAAACAAACCAACAAAACCAACAATAAAAACCAACCAAACAAAACCAACAAAAAACTCCCACCAGAATAAAAAAAAAAAAAAAAAAAAAGAAAATACCCAAACATGTTGTGTCCGTTTGTGCAGTGCCATGCAAACCAGCACAGTCTGGCATCTGGCTTGGCTCTGCTGGAATTGTAGCAGAAGAGCTCACTTCAACTAACAGAAATTCGAGGTTCTGGATGGCCCTTTAATTGTGTGTTCTTGCAAAGATTATGGATTTGTAGTCTTGCTCTTAAGAGAGAAAGGGCCTTCACATGTATGAAGCAGCCTAAATATGTATAGCTAAAGGATGATATCACGCTTAGTGAACACTCAAATCTGTGCTATATGCCAGCCTTGGACTTTGAAGTAGAGAAGTTACGCTACAAGCTGTTGCCAAGGGAGGACAGAAGGGATTTGATTTATAGAGTGAACAAAAGTCATGTAATTGGTGAACCACTTCCTGGGGATCTTGGGGGAACTGCACAGACACCATGCTATTGCAGAGGAAACTCTCCTCTGGGCTTCCTGGGATGTGCAAAGCCTTGGAGTATGAGCTCTGATCTCTGCAGATTTCTGTTACACTTTGTTTCTCTGCCACGTGCAGGCTGTGGCCCAAACTTTAAGAAATATCTTTTGTTATTGTCTGGCTTTAATTTTGCACTAAACTAACTTCTATTGAAACATCTGACCATTTCACTCCTAGTTTAGAGGTTGCTGCTGGAAGAGACAGGAATGAACAGTATTGCAGCAGGCTGCTGGAGGGTCACACAGCACACAAACATACACTGCATTTTAGACTTAGTCATGTAAAGTCACCGGTGTTTCTCAGAAGCTAAGCTTAAACATACACTTTGTGCTACAGATGGGATCAGAGACCAAAGACGGAATTCATTCTCTTGTCAGCTCTGAAACAAACAATTCCCAGGGAACTAAAAAACCATCTAGTAAGAACTAATGAATACAAATCTTAGGCAGCAAAGCTATTTCTCCTTTAGGCTGAGGTGAACAAATACATAAGAAGAAAGAAGTATATAGAGGAAAAGAGAATGGCCAAATTATTCTTAGTAAATACAAGGTAATGCAGCAGTCATAAGCAACAGCTTGCATAAAATCTCTGGTGATCATTTTGAATATTTGCTATTGCTGGCATTTATATTTCTTAGAGCAAAATGGATGACGGTGCAGAAGTTTTTTTTGCCAACATCCCAACTACTCCCTAATACTTCACTTAAATCAGCACTCATTATCAATACTGTGGCTTCATTGCTTCAGTTGCACAGTCTGAGGCTAACTGGTAGCTTTCAGTTATTTGAAATGCAGCTTTTCTACTGCCAATTACTTTATTTACTGCTTGTGTGTAAAACAATAATTCCTTCCCTCCTGGGCACAAAGGCAGATTAACATCAGTAATTACTAAGCAGATGTCTATATTCGAATAACCATTTCTTAGAGGCAGATTATCTTCTGCATTGCCATAAGGGAAACGGATTTAAACAGGTGATACTGTCATCCCATAAGTGATGTGAGCAGCATGGGACTCAGCAGAGAGCTGGTTAGCTCCCGGAATCGCTGTCTGCAGGGTGATAATCATTGACCTACTTGAGATCAGTCCTGAGAGTTGTTTGGCATTTAATTCCTAAAAGTAACAGCCAGTGACTGAACAGGGTTCTGTGCTACTTGCACTTGCTTTCTGTTAATTTTTTTTTTTTTGCTGTTCCCAAGAAATCTAAGGCTACGCTTTCAAGAGAGCTCAACACCTAGATTAAGGACTTATGTTTCCTAATAGCTGTGTTCCCACAGAATTGCCTGAAAGGTGCACTCAGCACTAAGTGCTAAGCTTATTTAGGGAGTCATTGAACTTGAGAGTGGGTGGGGGCAGTCTTTACTAATCCAGTTGTACTGCCAGGACTGAAATATGTTTAAAGCAGCCCCTTGGTGCTTTTGAAGTCTGTTGTGGCACACAGTGTTTTTCAGATGAACAATCACCTGCAGTCTATCCAGAAAAGCCACTACTGGCTTTTGGCTTGTGGTGAGAGCTTGTCAGAATTTATACATGCCTTTGTACATGCCTGTGTACATGCAGAAGAGATGTGGCTGTGGTCCTGGTTCACTGGGTATTTTCAAATCAGCTGTCTAGATTTTAGAGGCCACCCTTTTGAAGCTGATAGCCAAGATAGGGCCCTGGTTTTCCTTGTGTGGACAAGTCATGGCATTGCCTCCATTCCCGTTCTAAAAAAAGTGCTTCTCCACACCAAAGCAAGGAGTGGTGGCCATAACCCCCAAAAGAAGGCAGATTCCCTGTTTCTCCTACCATTGCTGAATAAGCTGATATGGGATGTGTTTGTTTCCATAAGCTCTTCCACAGCAGTGAAACGGCTTTGCCTTTGGTATTGAATCACTCTCAGCCACGTCTTGCTCTCTTGCTCAAGGGTCATTTTTTTTCATGAGCTCCTGGGACTCACATGAACATACGCAAACCGTGCTATTTGTTACACTGCATTTGGCTCTGGCTGCCAGTTTGACAGGGGAAAACTGGGAAATCTAACCCTGCTTTATGATTGATATATTTTAAAAAGAATCAGAAAGCAGGTTAAAAAAGCATTTAAGAGTGTATTGGTTTTGAGATATTTCAAAGGTAATCTCCTACCTTTAGGGAGTGTGATTATTTTTCAGTATCTGAGGTTTGCTCTCTCATTACTCAGTGACAGGAAAAGCTGTTGCCCCTCGTGCAGGCCCTAGTTTCCGTCCTGAGTGCCATGCAGAGATTAGAGGTCTGCAGGTTGGCTTTCAAGCCCTGCAGGAACCAGCTAAATGCAGTTATCTTTAGACAAGTGCAGATAGCAGGCCCGGAGTGGAGGTACTCAGATAATGTGCCAGA